GAGATCTAGACCTAGCACGTAGGCATCGGCAGCACGTGGCGGCGACTTCGGAGACTTGCTGGTGTTTGGGGCGAGTATCGCTATTGGTTGTCTATTATTAATTTGTAATTTCTGGAACTTTTCATTTAATTAGGTAGTTATCGTAGGTTACCGATCAAACGGTTAGCAGACGCTAATGTGTGGTCGTCAAACCACGTTTTCTTGTTCTCTGTTAAGCTCACCATTTTTTTGTATCATCATTCACGTTAGTTATACGAGCTATCACGGTAAAAGAATTGAGTAGGTATTTCGGCAGTATTCCATCGCTGAGTGTTCTAGTTTTGCTGCGAAAGCTAGTGGCGCTCAAACGAACTCAACCTTCGGGCATTGGACACGACCGCCCGAAATACCCGCTCAAGGGAAACCTTTTTTTTCTCTCTCTCTCTATTAAATTGTTATTTAGGTCGTTGCATTGATTAAATAGTTGTCATTAAAGGTTGATTTTATTCTATTGTTCCGTCCGAAATTTGTCGTGTTGCAATAGAATATGTATGATTATATTCGATTTATGCAAATATCTTTATATGCAGTTTGTATACTTTTATAAAATAAATTATTCATATTCTACGGAGAAACATATAACCTATACATATATTTACAAGCAATGAAAATAATTATTTACTCTCCTGCAACTCAAATAGAATTACGTTTCTGTGTTCTGGGGATCGGTGGTTCTGGAGTAGTTTCTAACATACTCTGTGATGTGTGTGCCATGTGCGTTTAATTTTAAGAGATGGGGGAAATATAACAGAAAAATGGGCAAATGGGGGAAACATTCAAGGCAACATAAAAGACAATGGGAGCATGAAGCTCTATTTCGAGGTGAGACTAATGCCAAGATTATTAATTTCAATTATTAATTAAAAAGCGACATTTCAAAAATGACGCCCGAGAAAAATGTCATTTTTCCGGAACGCCATTACAGGAGTTTTACAGCAATACGTGTTTCCTAAATATGAGCCACAGTTCAAGAGCGGTTTTGAAAATTCGCATCAATTGTGAACTTCCCCATTTTGTGTGACAACTAGACACATTCTTCTATATTTTTATATAAAAGTTCTTTAAAGCTAAACTCATTCTCTAAATATGAGTCAAAGACTAAAGGCGGTTTTCACAGCCCAGTTCAATTTTGATTTTGTACGTTTTACGGGCAACCCAGCAATATTCCAAAACTGATATTTAATATGAAAAAGTACGCATTCCAAAGCTTTATTCCGCATGGACAACTACAACGTTGCAGCTCGACTGGAAATCTAAATATGCACCATAGATCAAGAGCGGGTTTTACGACTCGCATTAATCATTCCTAAAGGTTGCTAAATGAAGTCCCTCACCCAATCTGTTAATATAAATTTTATTAATAACCAAGCTGGTTCTTGTCATTCATAGCAATAATATCAATGTATATAAAATATGTGTGTATAAGAAAGGCATCTGGAAGTTAACACGGTAAAATGAGGTAAAAGAACATATTCCTACAGGTTTAGTACATTAACAAAGTTAAGTAGACAAAATAACACTGAATTTTCTTAAGCAAAAACCATCATCGTGTTAAGTATGTGACGAAACATCTCGTAAATAAACTTAGAAAAGTGTACACAATAAAAACTATAGAGGATTATTAACAAATTATGCTCTATGTACAAATCAACATCAGCTCTAAGTCGTTTGAAAATTAAAACCTTATGTGCTTATGACCATCCTCCGGTCAGTTTGTGGAAAAGCTCTTCGTTTAACGTCTGGCTTGCCTCCTTCGATCTAGTCGATAGGAATATGTATCCTCCGATAAATTCATGAACAACCTACATTTAAAAAATTACGTGAAGTATTTCCATTTAAGGCCCCAGAGTTTGCTTACCTTGCAATCGGCCGACAAGCAGCTGAAAATGATGTTGCCCTCCTCAAACTGGACCATCATGTGCTTTATTTCCCAGTTGATGTTCCAGGCCTTCATAGTGTTGAACCTCCAGGTCTTCTGATGATCGCCGGAATTGATATCCATCTTCATAATGCGATTGTAGGCCACACCTAGAAAGAGGCATGAAAATAGTGCCTAATTTGTCATTTGGAATAATCAATCTTCATAAAAAGGGTAAGGACACTTTTGGTGCTAAACTTTCCACAATTCAAATGTCGCGGCATAAAGCAGAAGAGTCAAAAATTACTCTTGGTGATTGTTGTGCAGGGCGCCACTCTCCGCGAGTATTTACAGACGATGATCGAGATGCCGGGAAAATGCTATTCGGGGAAACCCACTATTTTCAAAAGAACGGGGAATTACCGACTGCATTTTTTCCCTTCGCGTAATTTTTAGAGAATTGGGATTTTTTCTCGCGGACTATTGGTGAATACCCTTTTCGCGAGTATAAAGAGGCACAGCGGGGAACAAGGGGGTTGAATCCGAACCTTTCCGCGACAGTTTCCGTGACGGGAGAAGCGACTCTGCGAAAATCAGATTCTGCCTCATTCCAGACTTAATACGTTCTGTATAAAAAATTTAAAACTTTGTCGTTCGGGTGCCGACACCACGAGTGGCAAATCAGAAATAACTACAGTAGAAGTGCCTGATTTTGTGCAAAAGGAATGTACGGGAACAAGGACATCGCCAACCCCGAACATTTGACACTTCATGGGGAAAAAGTAAAAAATCCCGGAGCTAAGAAATCCCCGTCGTCAAATTTTTCTAGCTTCCGGGAACAACGGGACTTGAAGAACAGGTTGGAAAAAAGCTGGGGCTTAGCACTTCTTCTGACCGATCTATTTTTTGACAAGAACTCTAATGCCCGGTTTCTGAAACGATCTTTATAGTTCCAATAACTTAAACGGTTCTATACCGATTTTGTCCGCCCTGTACACTTTTGAATGGAAACTCCCATTTCCATAGGAGCTGCACGAAAATTGATGTCGGTGTCTGAGCCTCGATTATGAGCGGGTTTGGGACTGGATTAAAAACTCCTTTTATACTCTAAAAATGGTCAAAATTTGGACCACCGTGTACATACCTAGCAATTCCTCCTTCTTACAGTCCATAAACTTGACCACAAACAAGGTGATGCCGTAATCAGGCAGCAACTGCCACGCCTTGATGTAGCTCATTTTGGCGTCGATCAGAGACAAATCTTTGACGTTGGTGTGAGCCTCCAAGATCCTCTGAGTGAGCTGAAGCGAGAAAATGATTTAAGTTGGATGAAAATCCCCTACGGGAATCCGCAAACCTTTCCCTTGGACTTCTTGGAGTACTTGGACGAAATGTAGTCCTCCACCTGAATGTCCAGACTGCTAGGATTGATAACTGGCTCCTCGGCCCTCCTCTGGAGGTTCAGAAACTCCAGAATCGTTTGCTTTTCCGTCTCATACGAGCTGTCTGCCAGCGAGCGCCCTTTAGCTGCCAGTCGGCAGCATGCCATCCATCTGGAGTATTGTGTTTCCTAAAACAGCAACTCTTAAAAACCATCCCGATTTGCCGGAAAATTGAGGCTCACATCGTCGCACCGGAGGTACATCTCTGACATTCCATCCGCACTGGGCACCTCCAGCTTGATAACGTACTTGTTCTGGCTGAGATGAACATCCGGCGTCACCTCGCAGCCCTTGAGACTGATGTCCATTACGCAGTGAAGATTGTGCACCATGTCTTCGCGGCTCTTATACATGAACAGGTGGAGATCGCGGCATGTGAACCAATACTTTTTGTAGGCCTTCAGGGTAAAGCGCTTTGGTCTGTGCAGAAATAAAAAAATCAAATACGAGAACAAACTATTGAGGTTGTTAGCTCGTACTTCAAGAAGCGCAACTGGTCCTTCAGTTCGGGCACGGATGTGATGTCATTGGATCGTGCACTGATGCTGGAACCCTCCAGAGTGTTCTGCAAGTTGTTAAGGGCGGCATCAATGTCGTCTTCTTGTGGTGAGGGCGTGGTTCCGTTACTGTCGAACGACTGGTACTGCTGCGGCTGACTGGCTTGAAGGTTTATCTGTAACTGAACACGCCCAAGTCGAGGTTAGCAAAATATGTATGTAAGATGTTAATGTATCCACAATTTAATATGTGTCCACTCTGTTATAATTTACGAAGCATGTAGAAATAGCAACGGGGGGATAATAACAAAAGACGTAAAGACGAAACGACGACGAAAAGAGACTAATTTGAAGAAAGCCGCGTAAATATATTTTAAAGAAGCCCATTTAGTCCAAACGAGTCAGTCAGTATTCCCTGCAAGGCGAAAAGACGTCAGCCGGTCTTGTAGTATCAGTTAATGAACCCTAAACCATTAGAAAAATCCTACATATACATAGCTTCAATTCAAATAAAAATTTGTATTGATTTCGCCCTACAGTAAATAAAAATTATCAAAAACTTCATTATGCCAAAAGATAAGAAAAGGGTAAGTGATAATCGAACAAAAAGGTAATTCAGGTTTTAAACAATTTGCCAAATGAATACAAAGTATTGTATGCAGATAAAATATCA